ATACAGTAATAAAAGATAAGTAGAAGTTTGTCTGAAAGCCTTGTGAATAAAAGTGTAGTGAAAATAATATTTTCTTTAAGTCTCACTGACATCAAGAATATTCTTATACCCAATGTTTGTGTGCACTGTATATAACTTGTCGCACATATACAGTATACCGAGAATATTCTCGCTGCCAGTGTATTGGCTACCAATGGATGTGATACTAGATGTATGTGTGCGCGCAAGCAATGGATAGGATGTAGGCGCCCTCAGTATATTTAGCGTATATCATATGTGAGGCATAGTTTTGAGTGGTTGGGCACAGACGCTGAATGCTCGGGATAATGGCATTCACCTCAGGCTATGTAACACAATAAGTCTCTGTCGACTCGAAAATTATTTGGATATTAGCTTTGACTCACTTTTAAGCACAAGTAAATGCTTCTCTCTCTCTCTCTCTCTCTCTCTCTCTCTCTCTCTCACCCGACGACTCCACTCATATATAACACGAGTATTTGTTTTATATCCTCTCCTTCTCTCTCCAATTTGACTCCGACTCCTAAATCGTTATAAAAATATATTTATAAACACTTTTTTCTGCTCAACATTTGCTCTTCAAACAAATGAATCGCATTTAAAACTTTTCATTTACTTCTTTTCAGTTGACTTTTTGCATTTGACTCAAAACTACTTCATATAAATTGTTCATATTTTTAATAAATTTATATTTTAATTATTTTAATTGTGACAGCTAATAGTTATTAAAATTAATTTTCTCACAATTATTTAGATTTGAAAAACTCAACTCAACATTATTATCGTTATAAGCGTATTATTGTTATTATTATTATTATATTGTGTTGTGTTTTGGAAACAATTTATTGGATTTATCGCACGACTCATTGGATTATAATATTACTATAATTTTAATAAAGAATATTCCGGAATATAAATAGAAAATTAAGAATAAAATATTCTTTAAAATTTATTGTACAAAAGTAACAAAAATGAATTGAATTTATATATCATAAGTTACTTTCTAATATAAAATCATCGGAATTTCAAAATCCTATAAAATAAAATTAATAATAATTTTTAAAGCTGTGGAAAATATTGTGTATTATTTTATTTTTATAAGTAGCATAAAGCGACACTGATGAAAATAAATTGAAAACAATGTCTATTTGACAAACAGTTTTTTGAGCTCTACTTTGAGTCTACCATTTGTTTTAGAGGTGAAGCTCTGAAATAAAAAGTGAAGAAATTATGGATACGTTTATAAATCATTTGAATTTGACGACCATTTCGTCGGCTTTAGGCGACAATACGATGGAAGTGAATATCAGTGACGGGAATGGCATCTCTCATAACCATAGCTGTGATCCAGAATATATTGAATTCAGGTAATGTATCATGTATTTAACTATTTTATCACGTTGATTATAATTTACGATAGGAATTTTAAATACATTTTATGGAAATAAAATAAACAAATTTAATTTGTGTAATTAAACTTGAAATTATTGTTATTAGAAAATTATTTACAATCCTATTGCAACAGTTATTTTTGAGTTAAATATATTATTGTCGTTTAATGTAGTGTTTTGTTAATTCTCGTCAAAAGATAATAAATAAAATGTAAAATAGTATTACTTCTCAGAAATAATAAGCAACATTCTGTCACTTTTGTAGATATTATTTAAAATTAATTGCTGTAGAAACCCATACAGTATTATTTTGTGATATGAATACATTTTAGTTTAAAAGCTAATTTAATATTAAATTCTGTAGTTTAGTCGATCTCTCTCTATCTCTCTCTCTCTCTCTCTCTCTCTCTCTCTTATTCTGATGTTTTGACAAATTATTCTTGAATGTACAGAATTTTATATTCTCTTACATTCAGGAATATATTAACATAATATGAATGCAAATACTAGGTTATAAATCAAAATTATTTTAATATTAGTCCACATTTAATATTACATTTAAATCTAACAGACTTATTTATAATTTTTAAAAATATTAAAGTTTTAATTCAATGTAGAAATTTATTTTGTTTGTTTTCTCAAAGATGATTTAACTAAAATTATGCATCCAAATTTAATATCTTACATATGTATTACATTATGGTAATTAAATTTAAAAGTTAACTTATTTCTGTAAGCATTCATAGTATTTAAATGCCTATTCGTATGAAATATGTTTGTATGGATTATAACATTCTTATAGCACTTATAAATTAAATCTATTTATAAACACATTTATAAATCTTCAGAAACCATTTAAACTTCATATAACATTGAAAACAAAACTATTATAAATACAAAAAATTATGACTCCCACAAATCAATTGACATATAATTGTCTCATTACTCTAGAAATAACTCTCGCTTTTGGGTGCAACGAGTCTTAGTGCCAATTATTATGATAATCGGTGTCATAGGGAACAGCATTACGATCGTCATTATGACCAGACGTAAGATGCGGTCGTCGACCAACTCGTATTTGGCGGCGTTGGCCACCTTTGACATGCTGTACCTCATCTTCATATTCGTCTTATCCCTGAGCGCCTACCCCAACATCAAAGACATCCAATACTACTACTACTGGTACTTCTGGCCGTTCGCTATCATGATAGCCGACGCCTCGTCCAACACATCCATTTGGCTGACCGTCACCTTCACTATCGAGAGGTAGGAGCCCATCATTATCTCGTCTCTATTATTCACATACTCTGCCAAATGGTTGAGTATTACTGTATAATTACATACAGAATATTCTCGAGTAAGAGATTAGGTGTTGTTGAGTGCAATAGTAATGGTTGCGCTCAATGAATGGCAAATGCAATGAATGGATAAATAGTGTTTAGCCGTTGGCTTACGACACAAACAAATTGCCAGAAATTGTTGCAATTATTTATATGTCAATTAATTGACGCCTTTCTTGTTATCTGCAAACCTGGCCCTTAACTGACCCGTCATTAATAATTACTCGCTTTTGTTAATATATGAGTTCCCCATTCACAGGCTTAACATATTTAAACGTTCAAAATGTTGTCTCAAATTAGGTTTCGTTTTAAATGAATGTTTAGATCTAATGCTTAGAATTGTCTCATGAATTAACAATTAATAGTCAAACCATTATATTTTAATCTCTTTTTTATTTCTTTCTTTCACTCATAATTCAATCATTTTTATAAAGTTACTATAAATAGAAATTGAATTATATTTTTTCAAAAAATACAAGTCGAGTGTTTTTATGATAATATTATTTATTTGAGTATAAAGTGACAGATATTTAAATTTTATGGACAATTGACACCACAAGCAGTTGGTTAGCCAACAATTTGTCTGCTTATTGGACCAATTGAGACACAAATTCACTTTCGTGTGACAACTATGCCATCGAAACACATAATAAATACTTTGTTGAGTTTTTACAAGCTAGTAGAAAAATAATACTCTTTAAAATGTTATTCCAGTTCAACTGAATTCAATGTCAAAAGTGGTTTATTTACAGAATAAAGCGATTCTAAGACCCAGAATCTATGTTAAGCCTAAGTTATAATCACGTTTGTTACTACTCATAAAATTTCATATACTATGCAATAATTTATATAATAATTAATTAAATTAGTAATTTTAAAATTAATTTACGAATGAAACTGATTGATACAATTACTGAAGCAATGAATGATTTGTTTGGACAGATATATCGCTGTGTGTCACCCGATCAAAGGCAAGGTGTTGTGCACCGAGAGTCGTGCCAAACGTGTCATACTGTGTGTATTCCTGGTGTGCTTCACATTCACACTGCCGACCCCTTTCGAGTGGGTTGTGGTCGAGAAGAACTCCACCGAAACGGGTGCCGTCTATTTTCAGGCCGACTTCAGTGACCTTGGTCATAATGACCTGTACCGTACGGTCTACTACTATCTCAATGTCATCCTATTTGCTTTAATACCGTTCCTATCGTTGGCCATATTTAACGCGTTTCTCATTCGCTCGGTCCACGTGTCCCGTAAGCAACGGAATACAATGATCCAGGGTATGTAGTCGCCATACATACTGTATTGTATCATAACCTAGTATCTTAATTTAGGATTAAAGTTATAATTAGGATTATTTTTAGCTTGACACATTAATTGAATTACTAAACACAAACACATTTTTGTTTTTGTCTCCAATTAAACATCTCGTATAATAAGAAATAATAATAATATAAATAAATTATCATTTAATCAAACATTTCCTCTATTCGCTTAAATAATTAATTTGCAAAATTTTCATGTGATTATTATAATTAGCATGTATATACTTTGTATATATTTATATAATGTCATATAAGTTGATATAAATATAATGCAATTCTTTTGATGTATTCTAGACATCAAAAGTCTAATGAAAGCGAAAATATTATTTTTGTGTAAACTTTTCCCATTCTATTCACAATGTCATTATATCATAATGAAAATGAATAAATAAATAACTAAATGATTCAATTTTTTCTACCGAAATCATTTGTATGGGAAAACTTTTTTCACCGCTTATTTATATGTTGTTTTGAAATTATTTTGTTTCTTACTGCAAACGCATAATAAAAACAAAAAACATTATATTAACACAAAATTCTATGCAATTTGAATAGACATTCAATTTCTTGTGTAACAATGAGTACAGAGAATAAGGATATAATAAAAGCGATACAAAAAACACATAAAAACTATAAATCATTGAACTATTCGTTTGATTTTAATTTGTTTTGCATTTTATTTCTCTATTGAATGTAACTTGAAAATATATATTAAATATATAATTTGTTTTGCATTCGTTATTATGCATTGAAATAAACATTTCCACAAAATAATACACATTCATTATTAATCATTAAATAACATAATAGAGTCAATGCTTGGAAACAAGTAATTCAATGTTTATTGAACATGGTCAAATTGAAAATTAAATAGATATTCAAGAAATTGTTGGAAGTTTTTGTTATAAGGAAAAGATTTGATTTTATATTTAATTAGTTAGTTATACTATAATTGGAAATAACCAATAAAATATTTATAATAAATGATAAACAAATCAACAACAAAATTTAACAAACATTTTAATAAATAATAACTATCAATAACTTTTGCATTCATTTAATAACACAAAGACATTTTGGAAAATTTTTATTATAATAAATATTCTTAATTTTGTTTTGTTTTCTAAATACACATTTCAAACATTGAATTAAATTTGAATAATTTTTTGTTTGCAAAACAAATGCAATAAATAAAGTTTTAATTGGAAATAATGAATACAATTAAAGTGAAAGAAGATATTCAACAATATAATGTTACCATTTATTATACATTTTAGGGCTCCTGTAGGCACTGACATACAGTAAAATAATATGTGGAAACTTTTGTTTTATTTGTACAAATACGGAATATTCCGAGAAATGAGATATTTGTTACAATTGTTGCCACAATTCTGGACACAAATTTCCTGAAAAAGTCATTCAACATTGTTTTGAAATGCAATAAAACAATGCCTAATAAATGAATAGTTTTCACAAAATTAAATCTTTTCGTTTGACATGAATTTGTATTTAATATGAGAGCCTTGTTTGAATAATGAGCTATTTTGTCGAGTTTATAAATGCTTTTATTAGTCAACTATAGCTATTAATTTCTCAATTGTCTTAATTAAAGTGGAATTTAGAGTTCATTAAATTGATATGAGATTCTGTATGAGATTATTCTGTACGACAATACAAGTTATGCACAAAAAGGTTTCGCAATTTACGAGATTTGGAGATTAAAAATTTCTAATTAAGTGATTTGATAATTAAATATCACAAGAATGTTCACATTTAACAGATCCTGTATTAAGTACTATACATTATATGAATTATAATTACAATGAACACAATTGTATATAAGTTATTAAAGGTTTAACTTAATATATATATATTATAATAATATATATGCTAATACTTATATACTATATATAAGTATGTATACTATATATATACTAATATATATATTACAGGCGAGACATCGGCCAAAATGGATCCGACGAGCAAACAGGAGTCGCGGATCACAATCATGTTGATAGCTGTGGTCATCCTATTCTTCATCTGCCAATTGCCCACCGCTTCAGTCCTCATATATTCCGTGTTTTACAACTCGGAGAACGAGGAGACAAACACCGGGTGTCTCATCAGAGGGTTGGGAAATATATTCAACTTTTTGTTGGCCATCAACGCCACCGGAAACTTTGTGCTCTACTGTCTGTTGAGTCAAAAGTACCGGAGAACATTTCTCGCCATATTCTGTCCATGTCTTAAAAGTATGTATTTTTTATCTACATTTAAATTGCTTGCTTATTTATTTTTTTTAATAATAGTAGTATAAATACTAGTTTAAAATACTAGTAGTTTCAAGTTGTGTGTTAGTGTTTTGATGCTATTTTTACCCCGGATGATATCATAAAAAATCTTTATTTTTGTTCATAAGGATATCACTTTGTTTTTGAGCCCAAAATATGCGATAAGATCTTTGTGTCTCACTTTCATTAACATTTACACAATTATGTGATAAAGTGAAGTTCACTTTGAAAAGAATTTTTAATATTTAAAAATACTTTTATCAATTAATTTTAATATAGAAAATAGATTTATTAATTATTAATTAGCACATATAAAGTACTATAGAATTGGCTAATTTACTTAACGCGTTTTTAATGTGTTTTGATTAATGTGCTTATATTAATAAATAGTTATATTGTACACTACGGTCCATAAAAATAGTTTGCAATGAAAGTGATCAAGAATATACGAGTCCTTGAAAGTGTTAAACTAATGAGCTTTTCATAATTAGTCGCTTATAAAATAATTATAAATTCTGTGTTTAGTAAACATAACTTTGACAAAATTCTTAGAAATTACTCTAAAAACTTGACAAAACATCTAAATATAGAAAAGATAGAAATTGCGATAATTGATATAAAAACTATTATTTACTACAGAATATGAATAGAAAAAATTAAACAAAAAATAAGCGGTGAAAAAAGTTTTCCCATACAAATGATTTGGGTAGAAAAAATTGAATCATTTAGTTATTTATTTATTCATTTTCATTATGATATAATGACATTGTGAATAGAATGGGAAAAATGTACACAAAAATAATATTTTCGCTTTCATTAGACTTTTGATGTCTAGAATACATCAAAAGAATTGTATTATATTTACATCAACTTATTTGACATTATATAAATATATACAAAGTATATACATGCTAATTATGATAATCACATCAAAATTTTGCAAATTAATTATTTAAGCGAATAGAGGAAATGTTTGATTAAATGATAATTTATTTATATTATTATTATTTCTTATTATACGAGATGTTTAATTGGAGACAAAAACAAAATGTGTTTGTGTTTAGTAATTCAATTAATGTGTCAAGCTAAAAATAA